TTATAAAGCTGCTTGAGATCATGTGGTATTGGCATAAGGAAGGACAATGAGATCAATGGAATAGAATGGCGAGTTCTGAAAGATACTCACATATATGACCAGTTGAGTTGCCAAGGCAGTTGAATGGGGAAAGCAATGTCTTTGCAATAAACGATGCTGGAACAACTAGATAAGCATATAGATTAACTTTCATCCCTACCTCATGCTCCTCCAAAACTAATTTGAGGCTCATTAGACACCTGAACAGACACTTGAAAATTACTACATTTGTAGAATAATAAAGGAGAATGTCCTATTAGGATGGTCAGGGATTCTTAGAGGAGACTCAGAAACCACTTGAACATGTTAAAGAAAATATACAAATGAATTGGTCTACATTAAAATTAAAAACTGCTGTTCATCAAAAGACAGCATTAAGAGAATAAAAATGCAATGTACAAAGTAGGAAAAAATCTGTAATGCATATATCTGATAAGAACTTATGTCCAGGTATAAAGAATTTGTACCCATACTATATAAAAAATCCCTAGAACTTGATGATAAAAAGACAAACACTCCAATTTTAAAAACGAGGCAAAAGACTTGAACACTTACAAATGGCTGTTAAGCATATGAAAATGTGCTCAGCATCTCTGGTCACCCGAGAAATACAGCTTTAAGCTATAGTGAGATAACATTATACTCCCTCCAGAATAGCTAAAAATGGAAAAGACGGACAATGCTGGTAGAATGTGGAGAAACTAAACTCTCATTCACTGTTGGGAGGAGTATAAAATGATAAAACCATTTTCAAAAACCGTTTGGCTGTTTCCTACAAAACTAAACCTACACTTTAACCCCACAGTTACATTCCTAAGGATTTACAAAAGAGAAACAGACACATGTCCCCAAAAATATCTGTGCATACATGTTTATGTCAACTTTGCTCATCAGAGCCTGAAACTGGAAGCAACCCAAATGTTCACTAAAGAGTTCATTTAGACAGATCATAAATGATTCATAAATGGCAACCATTCAAACAGTGAACTGTGGATATCCTTAGCTTAACACAGTTGCCTCATTTGCATGGAAGAAGGCAGATCCCGAAGAGCACATACTGTTTCCTGCTTGTGTAATTTCAAGAACAGGCCAAAACAGTGGATGGTGATACAAAGAGAAGTGTTAGGCTGGGGGTAATAGTGGCTCACACCTCTAATCCCAGTAGTTGCGAGGCTGAGGGAGGAAGATTGCTTGAGACTACGAGTTTAAGACCAACCTGGACAACATAGTGAGACCCTCATCTCCAGAAAAAAAGAAAATTTGCTGGCTGTGATGGCACATCTGTCATCCCAGCTACTCAGGAGGCTGAGGCAGGAGGATCCCTTGAGGCCAAGAGTTTGAGGCTACAGTGAGCTACGATCACACCACTGCACTCCAGCCTGAGCTATGAAGCAAGGCTCCATCTCTACAAAAACAAAGAAAGAGAAGAGAACAGTGGTTGCCTGTAGAGGTGGGGACTAGCTGCAGAGGGCCGTGGGGATGCCTGCTGGAGGGAAGGGAATGCCCTGTGTTCTTGATTGATGTGATGGTTACACAGGTAGATAATTGACCATAACTCATATGCTTAAGCTCTGTGCATTTCACTGGCTGTAAATTTTACTTTAATAATAACTAATAATAAAAAGCTCATAGTGCCTGATGTTTGGGGTGGGGTGAACACAGGAGGTCAGTCAAGAGGCTGTTATAATAGTCCAGGGCACAGGAGTGTGGTGAAGAGATGTTAAGAAGTGGCCAGACTTGGGGTCTTTTGGTGGGAAGGCCAGGGCTGGTTAGCCCAGGAGGCAAAAGTCTTGCTTAAAGCCAGTTATGGATGACTGAATCTTTGAAACTCATTTATTTGTGCATTGTCCACTGAACTCCTCTTTCCAAAATAATTTGATGCTATTTAGAACAAAGGACATGTATTCAGTAAGGCTGAGAATACACAACCAAAAATTGAAGCCAGAAGATAGAAGAAGCAAATATTCCAGTTTGGGAACTGCTATTCGAAAATGAAGATTGAGACCTGTCTGCACCCGGGACCCTCAGCTGGCAACATGATCTGGGCTGCCCACGGGTTGCAAAGGAGGTCGTGTGGGCTAACATGAGGAAAGACAGCTCAGACTACACATCCAACCTGTTCTAAATCATGGTGGTTTCAGTTGAGAAGTATATATGTCTATTAGAGACTACTCTGTAAAAATATACATTTTTTGCAGAATTTATAACACCTTATTACATCACAATGGTCTGTTACATCAAGTGCTCTACAAAGAAAGGGGAGCATTTTAAGAAAAGCTCTCTTCTCTGTTCGAGGCCGAATTTATTAAGTATAAATGTGAATAGCTCTAATTTAGGATAAACTATAAGCTTGGGTATAGTATCCATACATTTATGGAATTATTATTATTTAAAACCACTACAAACTTACATGCTACTATGGAGATTGAATTTGCTTTGAATCTATTAAGTGTAAATGAAGACAGCTATTGATACAGTAGAACTGCTACAAAAATGAATGCAGAAAAGCACATAACTGTTGATTGATCATTATCATTATAGAGCATTCAGTTAGTCCTGCCATTTCAAGGAGAGGTGAAACTTATCAATATTAGACATTCTTTAATTAAGAACAAGTATTCAGAAATAAAATAAGAATGAAAGAAAATAGGGAAATTACGTGTGAAAAAGATGTTAAAAATATATACCAGTAAGGCAGTCATTCTTATTAAGCCTATTCTCAGTTCTGGAACTTTGGATTGGCATCTTGAAATGGATTAGTACAAATAATGCTGAAATCAACATCAGAGAATTAATGGTGAGCTCCTATTGTCATTTCCCATCAGATCTAATAGCAAAGGTCACAGTCTCCTGCAGAGAAAAGGGAAGGGAAATAATTGTCATAGATAATTTGTAATGCTCTATGGTGGCTAAATTTCAGGTTGATTCTTCAGTAAATTTCCTTGCAATTATTTCAAGTGGTGAGTAAAAATGACCACAGTTGAACACCATTAATAGAAAGTCATACACCTGCATTGACAGTGTACATGAAGAGAATGAAATATGAAGAAAGCTACGAATAGTTGGAAATTAGGGGGCAGTACTTATTCCTGATGATTTTGGTTTGGCTAAAACAGAGCTGGTGGCAAGGATGGGTTTGTTGTGATGATTCTAGAAAGGGTGACTCTCAGAAAGATGAACTGGGGACCCAAGAGAGGTTGATGTCAGGTGCTCTTTGGGGACAAGGCTGGTGGTGAAAAATCAGGCCAATGAGGAAGGCTGGGCCACTCAAAGTCCCATGCCTCCCTCCGGCTAAATAATGAGGAGCAGGGAGGGCTGGTGGCAAGGTGTGCTAATGAAAAACCTGAAGCTCCAGATTCTGATACTGGATACTGCTCTTCACTTACCAGGTGACTCTGGTGAGACAAGTCACTTGATCTCCCTGAGCCTGGGATTTTCTATCTGTTATGTGGCATCAGCCTTTTCTGTCCTGTTAGCCTCCCATGTAGGGTTGCTGTGAGAATCTGTGCAACAAAGGACACTTGGGCCCTCTAAAAAAGTCTGCAAATATCTGCTTTAGTTGTCTTTTATTATTTGTTGGTAGTAACTTCAGCAGTGTGAGCTGAAGCTGGAGTCATGCAGTGAAGATTTATGCTGAAGCCTGGAGATATTTTAGGAAAAATCAATACAAGATGTGTTGGGTTGGAGCCATGATAAGTCATCAATCTTGACAGCCTGCTGTTTGATCAAATTAATAATGCTTGAGAGAAACATTGTAAAAATCTATGGGAGGGGAAATCTAGAGTGTTTGAGATGAGGGCTTTAGCCAATATGGAAGTTGAAAGACATCCAAGGAAGGTTAGTTATCATCCTGCTGCTGGTGGAGCAGTGCACACACACACACACACACACACACACACTGATACACACAGACATGCACATACACACATGCATACATGGACACATGCACACAGACATAGCACACACATGTACATACACATACACACATGGGTAACAAGCACCAAATTTTTTGTCTGGGTCTCAGAAGAGACTGGCAAACAAGGACAACTAGCACTGATTTCAACATTGGGCAGCTGCACTTTGCCCACTCAAGGGCCCACCACCTTCTAAGGAAATGCCGGCTGCCTCTGAATTTTTAAAATGAAACGTGCAGTGTTTTTGCCATGTCTCATTCATCACTGGTGGAGAAGAGTATGCTCGTATAGCCTTGGGATTTGTTGCTGTTGTGTATAATGAGTGATGAGAGGGAATTGGGACCTCATAATTTTTAAATCATCAAAGCCCTGAGATGGCCTACAGATGCAAAGTAAAAGTACTGATTTTCCTGTGTCCAGAATGCTCTCAGACGTTCCCAATCCTCCATCCTTACATCAAGATTGTCACTGAAGCCAGGTGCCATGGTGCATGCCTGTAGTCCCAGCTTCTTGGGTGGCTGAGCCAGGATGATTGCTTGAGCCCAGAAGTTCATGTACAGCCTGGGCAACATAGCAGTACCCTGCCTCTACAAAAAAAAAAAGATAGTCAGCAGGGCTCCAGCCAGGTGTTCTCTGTTGGTGCAGAGAGGCTGCAGGCTGTGGCACACACTGGAGGAGCTGGAGAGAACTGTGGGGGTGCTGGCCTGTAAAGGGAACACCAGGAGCTAGGAGGGACAAACCTGGAGAAGGCAAAGCAAGGCGAGAGGTGAGTCAGTCGCAGGCTGGCCTGCATGCAGATGCTGATGGCTATTGTATAAAAAGAGTCATTAACACTAACATGGTTAGAGACCAGAAAGCCACATTTTTTAAAAAAAGATGAAAATGTTTACTTTAGTAGAGCGACAGAATTATTTCTTAATTCAAAAATTGCTTTTATTTTGTTTTTTTTTTATTATAAAAGTAACATGCATTTATTATAAAGACTGTGAATTTAACAAGTCAGAAAACCATAAGGAAATCTTGATATTGAGTCTGTCATGTTTTCAGGCAGAAAAAACAAAGAACTTTGTCAGCCGAAGCCTAGTCATAGGAGAAGTCCTTTCCATGGCGGACATGGCCACAGGAGTGAAGGTGAGAGGCATCAGGCACCTGCCCTGCACCAACTCATGCTCGCTTTGCATGCCAAGGAATGAAAACTATAACTGCGTGCACTCTCTCAGTCTGTGTAGTGGCACAGGTGTTGGTAAAATGGCTTACCTCAAACCCGGTCCTTGGCTTCTTCTTTAACCATTATATCATATCCTATTTTTGTTTTTAATTTGCTTTTCTTCTTTGTACAGTTTTGTTACATTTGCGTCAATCAGTTATTTTCCTTCCTCTTAATTTTATAAAAACAGTATCCTAATCCATCATCATTTTCTTTCTTCACTTGAATATTATGGCTAAGATTGATCCATATTGTTGTGTGTCCCTGCATTCACTAAATTTTAAAATAAAACACCTTTTTATTTTGAAATAATAAAGCTCACAGAAAGTTACAAAAATGGTACATCAGGTCACGAGAACCCTTTAGTCATGGTGACATCTTATATAGCAGTGATACGATGTGAAATCAGGAAACCAATATTAGTACAGCACTGTTAGATAGGACAGAGACGCTGTTCAGATTTCACTCGTTTTTACACGCACTCAATTTTGTGTGTGTGTGTGTGTGTGTGTGTATAGTTTTAAGCAGTTTGACCCCATATGTAGATTCATGTAACCACTACCACAATCAAGATATAGAACTGGAGGGGTGCAGTGGCTCACACTTGTAATCCCAGTACTTTGGGAGGCTGAAGCTGGCAGATCACCTGAGGTCAGGAGTTCGAGACTAGCCTGACCAACATGGTGAAACCTCGTCTCTACTAAAAATACAAAAATTAGCTGGGCGTGGTGGTACATGCCTGTAATCCCAACTACTCAGAAGGCTGGGGCAGGAGAATCATCTGAACCCAGGAGGCAGAGCTTGCAGTGAGCCCAGATCATGCCATTGCACTCCAACCTGGGGGACAAGAGTGAGACTTCATCTCAGAAAAAAAATTAAAAAGAAAAGAAAAAAGAAAAGAAAAGAAAAGAAAAGAAAAGAAAAGAAAAGAAAAGAGATATAGAACTGTTCCATCATCAGAAAGAAACTTCCTGGTGCTACCCCTTTACAGTTTCATTTGGCTTCCACTCTACCCCTGTCTTTTGGCAACTGCTAATCTGTTCTCCATCTTTACAGTTTTGCCATTTGGGGAATGATATAGCAATGGAAGAATGTTTTGACCACTGTATAATATTCCTTTGTGTGAATATACCACAGCATTTGTTCATCCACTTTCTGATGTTGTTTCCAGGATTTTGCTAATGTGAAAACGGCTGCTGTGAATACTCTTTTCCATGTCTGTGTTGAATGTGGGTAAAATCTTTCCTTAGGTATTCAACTAGGAATGGAATTACTAGTTACAGGATGAATGAATGCTTAACTTTAAAGAGTAGTGTTAATCTATTCTCCAAAGTCAGTGCATCAATTAACATTCCTACTAACAGCATGTAATTGGATTCTGTAGATCCATATCCTCTCTCATACTTGGAATTCTTAGACTTCTCCATTTTTGACAAATTTTTATAAAATGGCATCTTATTGTCTTGAGGGAAGACAATTATCTTGCATGCTCCAGCTTACGAAGGATGGTGAACAAAATAGCTCAGGTGGGTGTGTCTCCTGTGGCCACTCATGCTGCCCAGGCCTTCGAGCAGAGAGTCATTCATGGGGGCCTCCTTTCCCTCCCTGGATACCACTGGGTCTCAAAATAATTTCTCATATCCAAACACCCAGTCCTGATGTCCCCAAAGAGGAAAAATTACAAGTAGAACATGAAGACAAAATGATCAGACAAGAAGCCAGGTCAACTGGCAGTGAGTCCAATATGGTGGTGATTTCAGTTTGGTGTAGACATTGTCTATGGGTAGGTAGGAATTAAAAACAAAGAAATCTGTGAGTGCCATCTTGTGGTGGGTGTGTTCACCATCAGGTTTTTCCAGGAAGACTAGGCTTTCTGTGGTTTCAGCCAGGCATGATCTCTTCCCTCTTGGATGGGTTGCCTGTGGCTTTCAGAGAGAGCAGTTAGCTGAGATGCAACAGGTAGATTCCCTCTCAGAAATACAGAGGATCCTGGTCCAGACTCCTATGATCCCAGTTTGTGCTTTTACCATACTGCACCCCCACCCCACCCTGCCACCTACCTTCTCTTTAGCAGGCCTCTGTGGATTGTGACCACAGAGATTGCTCCACGGATGGTGGCAGCTCTCTGGGTAGGGTACCCTCTCCTCTGGTTTCCAGGGTCTTGCACTGAGCTTAGTCCATGGAGTTGCAAAGGGAATGTCGGAATGAATGAAGGAAGGGGCAGCCTGTGGCTTAAAGCAGACTTAAGAAGTATTTTAACCAATTGTAATGTGTATATTATATTTACATCTTGGTTCAAGCAAACTATTCGTAAAAAAAAATGTGTGTCAGTTGGGGAAGTCTGAACATTGGACATTTGATGATATTAGAGAATGATTATTATATTTTTAGGTGGGATAATGGTTTTAGGGCTCTGTTTTAAAAAAGAATCTATATCTTTCACATATGTATTGGAAATATTCAGAGAAGGCCTATTTAATGGTGTCAGGGATAAACGTCAGGATAGCCTGGAGTGTAGGAAGGGAAAGTACATGGGGGTGGCTGGGGGGAGGGAGAAGAAGAAAAATGGGCCATGAGCTGGCCATCTTTGAGTTCATTATATGCTTCTATTTTGTTTTATTTTTTCCATAATACATTTTTTTTTGAAAACTTCTGAGTATTCTAGAAGGAAATTGGTATGGACTTAAAGAAAAAGGTGTTTGAAATACTTCTGTGGTCACTCCACTCTCCTGCTTAAAAACTTTTTTTTCCCATTATGCTTTAGAAACATCCTCTAATCCTTGATGTTGCCTATGGGTCCTAGCAAGTGTGGCCCTGGTCATGTCTGTTCCACTTTCCTCTTGTTCTGGTTTCTTTTACCCACCTTTGGACCACTTGCTACCAGCCCCAGCTTGGTCTTTCCCCTCCTTCACCTGGCTGACCCCTATTCATTCTTCATGTCCCAGCTAAAGTATCCTTCCCACAGGGATGCCCCTCTCAACCCTGCAATTGAGTCCCATCCACTCGCTGTCACCTGTCTTTGCTTTTTATAGTTTTCTGCCATAACCTGTACCCATCGTGAATCTATGTATTTATTCATGGAATTACTTTATTTCTCTTACTGCCACTAGAGGAAAAACTCCTTGAAAACTATAACCTTTACATTCTTGGTACTCATAATAAGCGTCAATACTTGAGTATTAAATATATACATAAAAACAAAACAATATGGTGGTTTTTCAAAAAGTAGGACATAAAAATTACTGTACAGCCCAGCATTCCACTAACTGGATACACACTCCAAAGAATTGAAAGTAGGGACTGAAATAAATACTTGTGTGCCAATGTTCATTGCAGCTTGATTCACAATAGCTAAAAGCTGGAAACAAATCACATTTCTGTCAACAGAGGAGTGGATAAACAAAATGTGGTATATATACACAATGGAATATTGTGTAGCCATAAAAAAGAATGAAGTTCAGACACATACCACAAAGTGGATGAACCTTGAAGCCGTTACATTAAATAAGCCAGACATAAAAGGACAAATATTATATGAGTCTGCTTATATAAAATATCTAGAATAGAAACATTCATAAAGACAGAAGGTAGATTAGAGATAACCAGAGGTGGGAGGGAGGGGAGAATGGGAGTTGTTGCTTAGTAGGTACAGAGTTTTTGTTTGCGACAATGAAAATGTTTTGGAAACATTTGTGATGGTTGTACAACATTGTGGCTGTACTTAATGCCACTGAATTGTACGCTTAAAAAGTGGCTAAAATGGCAAACTTTATACTATATATATTTTTCCACAAATAAAAATAACAATAAAAAATATTATTAACCCTGCTGCCCCACATATCAGTAATTGTAGGAGATTTTTTTCTTTTTTTTTCCTGGAGCTTGGAAACCCTAGACAATTAGAGGAAACTATAGATTGTGCAGCCCCCAGAAGGACTGTGGCTGTCTTTTCTACTGGTGATGGAGGAGATGCCAGGAGAACATGTGCTGTGCTGGAAACAGATCCTGTGAGCTCTGGGTCAGTCAGGGGTTCCCCAGATGCTGCTGCCAGCTCAAGAGCTACTGTCTTTCACAGGAGCTGGCTGTCAATCTGAGGAAGCGGTGTCAGCATCAATTTATCAAAATCAGCTATGCCCTGCATGTTCAAGCCCCTTTTCTGTCTCTCTCTCAGTCTGCTTATCCAGTGGCTTTGCATTTCCCTAAGTACTTTGGACAAACTCATTTGTACTCACATAGTCTAGTGCTGGCAGGACTGGGGGCTGGCTCCAAGAGTGGCTCACAGAGACAGGGGTGAGCACACTAGCAAGGTACCAGGGAAAAAGATTGTCTTTATTGGTGCTTTGAATCCCCATTCTAGCTTGTGTGCCAGCCCAGTTTCCTGCCAAAAACATGGATGCACCCTGGAAGGACTCTAACTAAGGCTGAAAGAAACCAGTCATGCCTCCTTTCCTGCTTCTCTATGGCTGTCTATTCCCTTATTTGAATCATCCTACTCTCTGTCTTAGCTGCTTGGACTGCCATAACAAAATACCATGGGCTGGATGGCTCAAACAGCAGAAATTTATTTTGCCACCTTTCCGGAGGCCGTAAAGTCTAAGATCGAGGTGCCAGCATGGTCAGGTTCTGGTAAGGGCTCTTTTCCTGGCTTGCAGACAGCCACCTTCTCATTGAGTCCTCACTGGTGGAGAGAGGTGCTGGTCTTTCTTCCTCTTCTTTAAGGACACTAATCCCATTATGGGAGTCCTACCCTCATGAGCTCATCTAAACTTAACCATTGCCCAAAGTTTCCATCTCCAAATACCATCACATTAGGGTTAGGTCCTCAACATATGAATTTTGTGGGGGAAAAAAATTCAGTCCATTTTCTGGGGTCCCACTGTCTGAAAAAACACTTCCAGTTTTCTATTTGTGGAAATTTGCTCTT